AATCACTGCATCCAATAAGAAAGCAATATTGTGCTCATGCCAGGTGAGTGAGTTACGTTCGGTTCTGACCGCAAAAATTGGGAAAATAGTAGGAATTCGGAAGCAGGAATCTGGGAATTGGATTCAGTGGCCGGATTTACCCAGTTCCGGTCGGAACCAACCATAACTGAAGAAAGCCGACAACTGGATAAAATCACCAGATTCCTGCTTCTAACTTCCTGTCATGTAACGGACTTTTCTGGCTGAAAACGGCGTTTTTCCTGCTAGTTCCCATCGGAAATCGACGAGTCCGAGCGATGAAATCATCTATTTGGGGATTTGAACACGTGAAAGTATGAAATTGTTGTAGAGGTGAAAGCAAGAAAAATATTGTTCACTTTAAATGATTGCCCTTCATTCATTTTAATTGAAATTACAATGTGAAACGATATTTCTCCTTACGTTAGGAAACCCCTCCTCGCGCTTCAAAGCAATCGGAGTCTTTTAGTACGTCGAAGTGTACACACTTACCTAAAGCATCTTTTAATTTGGCTTTTTTGGCAAAATTAACCAAATTCTTCAAAGTCCACTTGGCTATTTCATATTAGTGTTTTTCAGAAATATCACATGGTAAATACTGACTTGTAGAATCCTGTACACGAGAGTTATGATTTTTACATGGGTCACGTTTTCCTTGTGCACTGCTTCTTTTTGAGGAACTGACATATATTTTCGAAGAAATTAGTGAGTGTAAGTTTCAAGTCGAAGTTTTGTGGTTTCCCCATCCTCATTACAGTTCTTAGAAACCAGAGTTAGAAGCCATTAACCGAAGTTTTGCTCCCCGATTTCCTCATTGGAGACCTTAGCTACCAGGAACAACAGGCGTCAGACTCTTTTCAGAGTCTCTTAGCAACGGGAAAAGTGCGAAATCGTATTAACAAGAAGATGCAGACTGTTCTAGAACACTCGAAGGTCTTTTGTTTAATTTAAATGGGTAGAATGCATTGACAACTATTGCAAATAGTACCGTTTCTAATTTTTGCGCGGATAGAAATTTATTTTTCAGGGTGTTAAGAATAATGAGTAGTAATGCATTGATTTTCCAGTCGCCATATGATCAGCATAGATAACATGAACTAATCGAGTTATAACTTTGGGGAATAATGGATATCAGTGTTTATGAACTTATCGAAATATATAATAGTGCGTTGAGACCTACTGTAAATATAATGGATATGTACAACAGGCCTATATGCCAGTTCAATCAATGTTTAGAATAATAATAATATTAAATTAAGAAAAACATAATACGAAAAAGAAAACAAACAGTGCGAATAGCAGCAAAGGCAAACAAAAAATAGAGGGCCACTAAAAAAGAAGAAACACTTCTCTTCGAAATGTAGAAATAAATAAGAGATAAATAAGAGATATTTTTTCTGGCGATTAATTGTGCTCAGAAAATAACTATAGTCTGTTAGAGGTTTTTCACGTTACGTATTTTATTCCCTAGACTGAAAGAATGGAGTCTAGAAACGGAAATTCATCTGTATCTGTCTGTAACACGTATATCACGTGATTGATATGGTAAAAAGGGCCATGCTTCTTAGTTGTGGTACGAAGAACTATCACATAAAGAAGTGGTACAAAGGATGAGACTACAAATGTAAAACGGGTTTGCTGCAGTTATATGTCTTTTGATTCATTGACGAAAGTGCAAATCTTATGTTAGAGAAGGTCAAAATAGCTTCTCATAGGAATTCTGAAAGTTTATCTGTCGAACGACTAGCTGTAAGGTTCTTTTATCATTATTATTTTTTTATTTTGTTCTCATTTTACTTAACTATCAGTGTTTTTATATGCAATTCTATATAAATATGTACTCTGTCAGTCCAGGACCAAATCAATCGATCCTCGATGATCATTACTTATATTAGTACGATGAGGCTAAAAAAAACATGTGAATTTCACATTTCAACTCCAAAGGGGATGCACTGACAAGTTTTTATTGGCGTAACTACGATACTTCGCTCCTTATATCACCTCGAAAGATTGATGTTTTGTTTACAGTAATGACAGTATTAACCATGAAAGCCAAGTATACATTCATGAGGCTTGCCAGGTAAAATACAGAGTTGTGTGTCTAAAGTTCTGAAATATTCGAAAGTAGCAATAACCATTCATACAAATTAGTATTGAGATCAATCATTAGATCAGCTGCCATATATCACTTATCATTAGAGTGAGAAGTCATTTTGTTTGACTGGCATTCGAGTTAAACTTAGAGTTTCAATTTTTATTTTCAGAAAACAATAAGCTTTTCAATAAAATTTCGTAAAGACTTGATACATTAATCACTTCTGAACATTTTCCAAACCAATATAGCCTTAAAATAATGGCTCTTCAATAAGTCAGCAGTCTCTTTAGAGTTCAGTTTTCCAAGTGAATACTTTAAAAGCTTGACACCAGCTATAAAATGCTTTAAAAAGTCAGTCCATCTGCTCAAAAATACTGTTTCTAAAGAGTAGATTCTTCGGAACGAAAAAAAGACTGTTTATAAGCTACAAGTCGTTCAATTTCGAGTGCTTGTACCCCGTTTTCCAATCAGACAGGGCATGATACGCGCTTCTTCATCAAAATATTTCACAGTTTCTGCTAAATTTATTAGACTTTCTGAAAATGTTTTAAAGTGTTCTCGCAAATTGTGACAGAAATAAGTACGAAGATGTTCTGAGATGTGAAGGTGGCTCTTCTCTTCGCCGATTGCCATGTCCACACGCAAACCTACGCCCAAGCTCACTCCATTAGTTCGTGCCCTTTCTGGTTCAACGTTGTTCAGTGATTTTTGGAAGCGTAACTATATGTCAATATTAAACAAAACTTATTATTGTTATCTTTTAGAATCATCTACCAATATAACTTGTTTCAAATATTTACCAACTAAGATCATTGGATCGATAAAGACAATAAACATGTTTAAAACGGATTCCACGGATTCGGTCAGCGTACAAAAACAAGGAGTTTATACTCGAGTCTATCTGGTTCTTCTCATGAGCTCTCTTACAGTATTAGTTTTTTATTCGTCATTTATTGATCGCATCAATTCAAAAATCCATTTACAGCCATCTATTACCGAGTATGAAAATTTAATTAATCTTCATCCTGATAGTATTGATTGTCCATGCACAGTCATATCAGTACCCTACAATGCATTTATTAGTGAGCTCAATGTCAAAATATATCACCAAGCATGCACCAGCGACATTATTCGCACAATTGTGACATGGCATACTGACCATCTAGATGGAGAGCAACTTCGTAACCAAAGTAACTTCAAGTCGTGGATGTTTGTTTTCGTTGACGGTCTAAATCGATTGTGTCAACTGGCAAAGAATAGCGTTGATAAGAGTATTAGTGCATTTTTGGATTCAAGTATGCTCAATTACCAATTAGTAACTCGCGCTCAGTTTTATAACGAAATGAATGTGACTTTGAAACGTGTACAGATGGCAACACGTATTGTATTTGCTCGAACACTGAATCTTGTTCGTGCAACTACTCAAGGAAATGCATTGATAGGTGTATTTTCATCGAACTGGCAGTTTGTTGTCACTGAAAATAACACAGACAATAATGCTACTTTTCTAATGGTGCCCATCATCTCTAATGTTAATGATCATAATATAACATGTTCTTGTGCTACTTCAAGATCTTGCTCTGTACCAGCTAAAATGGATGACTCTCAATCTACAAGGGATTATACAATCAAAGGTTTGGTTTTTGGATGCTTTCTACTTGAGACAATTCTACGCTCGTCTTTGTTGTGTTTCTATTCACAAACGTGCATAAAAGAATACCGGGATGCACTAGACGTAAATCAAGACTGGAATCAACTGCAATGTAATGGTCAGAAATGTAATTCTTTGGTTTTGAATGCCTCATTGACACGATTTGCCGTGAATGATACGATCGAAACGATGACTTACAACATGTTTATTGAATCTTGGGCGAGCAATGCGTCCTATGAGATGTTTTTCGACGCCTGCGGCCCGAAACAATGCATTTATGCATATCATTATCGATTTGATGTTCTGGACATCTTGACCACTTTTTTGAGTGTGTTTGCTGGTCTAAGTACTGGACTAAGATTCGTAGTGCCTCATCTGGTTGAAATAATCGCGAAAATCAAAAGTACATTTCGTGTAACACCGTTGTAATAATTCTTGTAACATATTTCACTATTCTAAACAATCATCAAGAAACATTCCAAGCTTTTGTGTTTATATTGTAATAATTAACATGTTGTAGGACGAATTTCTGAATGTTTTCTCGTATTGCCGTGCTGATACATGTAACCATTGTTGCTGTGGTAAGTTTTTAATAAATACCATTATAAGTAATTATACGATATACTTTCGTTGACAAATAAAGTTGATTCGAGGAATAAACGAATACGACTCAATGACTGTTTTCAGGTCAACATGACACGTTCGTATGTATTTCCTGCTATTTTACTGATTTTTTAAAGGAAAAAGTTGGAAGATGCCATGGAATGTGATGGAGAGAAGCAAATCATAGTTGAATGCACTTTATAAATTCATACTGGCCATCAATAAATTTGATAAGCTTTGATTTTGGATGTAGGATGGGTATGGGTACGAGTGTATAGTGGGTGCAGGTGTGAGTGTGAGTGTGGAGATGACTGAGGCTGAAAAGAAAATAATACTTCGACAGAGTGTGGATGTGGGTGACAGGTTAAAAAGAAGACTCACATCAATACCTCTCCCCATTGCTCACACCTCCACCCTCATTCCCCACACCCACACTCACACCCCCATCTCCTACACTCCACATCCATACTCTAACTTGAATAGAGTTACTTACTTGTAAAAAACAGGGGTGTTCGTAGGTCTTCATGTCTTTTACAAATATCCTCTCTGTAGTGTCATAATTAATGTTTTTTTTCTTAACGTTTTTCGTGACAAAAACAATTATTATTTAAACTTAAATTTTCAACATAAAAATTAATCAGTGACAGAAAAAGATTTCAGTTTAGGTTTTAGGTTGAATCCACCACCAGTGAAACGAGGTTGATGACTAAAATAATATTCGATTTCAATCCTCTTCAATAAAAAAAAGATTGGACCTTCAAAACTTACGATAATCGTATTGGTCTCATATGATACGGTAGTAGTTGTTGCAATGGTAAGTCATCAGTGGTTGCTGTAAGTTGATGTGTTTTGGCACGATGTTCGCTTCCTTTTGCAATGGATTCTTTTTTCTTCTGTAGTAAATATTTCTGTCGTAATTCGGCTAATTGTCGATTTAGTTTATTAACTTCATTTTTAAACTCATTTATTTGACTTTCATACATGTTGACTTCACTGATCAATGACTTAATTTGTCTTGTGTTAGCTTTAAGGGCTTCTTGGTACATAGATAATTGTTTAGCAACTTCCGCAGCTGGTTGACGAGCTAGATATGGACAGAAAAAAGAATTATCACTTTCCGATTAAAAATAAGGTGTCTAATTAGTTATCATACGTACGCAAGGAAAAAATTGAAGATGGGTGGCCCATAAATAACACGGCGATAAGAAATTCGAATATCTCCATTACGGCTCGAGCAAACGTGCTGATTTTTTTACCAGTGATGGATGCATGTACCAAGTTTATATCCATAAAGACATGTCCAGGGAGACCCTTTGTTAAGTATCACTATTGCCGTCAACAAGAAAAATTTTCTTTTTCACAGATAGAAAAAAAAAGCAGTACACTTAACAGAGGATCTATCTAGGCATGTCTTTATGGATATGAAGCTTGAACATGCCTCTATTATTGGTAAAAATATCACCTCGTTTGCTTGAGCCGTAATGGAGGTATTCAATTTTTATTTTGGCAAACTGACTTTTGGACCACCCTTTTTATAGCCCAAAAGTCACCCATCCGAAAAAAAATTGAATATNCGACCAGTACAGGAAGTCCAAGTACAAATACTGTGTACTTTAGATTTGTACTTTGTACTTTTACTTAAGTACAATGTACTAAGTACAAATGTACTGAGTACGGCGTACTTAAATACAATGTACTTGAGTACAATGTACCTAAGTACCAGTACAAAGTACGTTTTTTCGTACTAGTACCGGTACTAGTACGAAAAAGTGTACTAAGTACGGCGTACTTAAGTACAATGTACTTAAGTACATTGTACTTAAGTACCAGTACAAAGTACACTTTTTAAGTACACAGTACATGTACTTGTACTTCGAAAAACGTACTGGTACTTAGGATTGTACTGTACTGAGTACGAAAAGTACTAAGTATTGTACTAAGTATCCAATGTCTGCTCCTGATATCTATTCATCAATAGAAAGCTTGTTAAGACTGAAAGCTTTTATATTAGTTTTCTGTACTAACTACATGTCCATCGGGCTTGGATATAACTAATTAACTGTAGAATTAATCTAATTTTCGCGTTATATATGCTTTGTTATCTCGTGTATCTATCTGAAATATATGCAATAAATAGTAAGAACTACAAGTAAATCAACGATAAATTAAGATGCTTAATAACTATTCAAGTTTGTCTCAATAACATAACTAGATATCAAAGTGAGTCGATAAAATCTATTAGGCATACTATGATGAATTTTTACTTAATAGAATAGTCTGATACATGTTCTCACACAGAAATATTTTTCGACATCAGTAAAAAAGCGTTTGATTTGTGAAAAGAAGCACTATTATGACCGAATTTTCCAAAAACCGTTGTGCCTACCTGCCGGTTGGGAATTCTCTACTAAACTAGACTGGTCTTGATCGACCGTTTATCGTTGCCGGTTACAACTCTGCAGTGTGTAAAAAATCACGTCTTTCACACTTGCCTAGAAATATATTTGCTCTGTTGAAGCCATTTGAATTTAATATTGGAGTTTTGAATGTCCTCAAGACCTTTATCCACCATAGGTTTAAGAGAAATCGTATGCGTCCATGTAAAGCCTAAATATTTGAAAAATCTTACAGTTTTTAGTTTAAAATTATTCATTTAAATGTCTACTTCGAATTATTTCACTTGCGAGTGACAAATTTCAACAACTCTCTTTGAAATGTTTATCGTTTGTTTCAATTTACTCGCAAACCCGAAAAGATTTCGACAAAATTCGGAGCCTGTAGAATTTATGCATTTTATTATCCCCTGATGGCTTCTATGAATTGGTGGAACTATTCTGATATTGAGGTCGTCTGTAAAAAGATGTGTAGAAAAAGCTCTAACAGTTTTTACTACACTTGCACGGTAAATTATGACGATGTAGGGGCCTAGAGGGCTCTCTTGTGAGAGACCTACATGTATCCTAAAAAGTTTTTGTTTTGCGTTTTTGAAGACGGTGTATGCTCTCTAGTTAGCAAGCTAGTTGGTAAGTGGGATGTAGGTGGGATATGCGTGTTTACGTGCGTGTTGGCGTATTCTTAATTTGTTTACCCACAGCCATACCCTCACCCTATATGTTATTATTCTAGTTTCTTTGTATCTTTCTTCGAAATTGTTTTTGAGATCGAATAAATAATTTCTTGCATAACTGTTTTAAGTACTCCAACAATAGTTGATAGACACTTAGAAAAATATGAACAATCTTTATATAATGTTGCTGTTTAAGTTACATTATCTATAAAATTATACATTTTTATTGGAATATACATATTTCAGAAATATTACTATAGAACTCAAATATACATTGCTCATATATTGCTATGATAATAACAAGTCCTATGAATTGATTATTTTGATAGACCCGGTTATAATCCCGTGATTGTTTTTTCGTTTCATTATTTTACTTTGTGTTCAATCTTGATTTTTCACGAGTCTAAATGCGCGCATCATTTCTCAAAAAGCTGCTGTTTGTTCATATTTGTTGACTCCTGACGAATGAATGAGACCTGTGATGTAGTACTCCACGTTGATGCCCAGTAGAGATTATGCATGGTTGAGGTAGTTGTTAATGATGGGAAGGAGAGATAATGAGGTTTTTCGACTGATATGAGTTTGATCACTCCATGCTCTACAACTTATTTCACTGTACGATTCAAATTATTTCAGTGACAGTCAGAGTCGAGCGAGTAGTGATCGAAATGAGATTATCCTTATTGAAGTCAATTGATATCGACATTTATCAAAACGCATATCGGTAAAAATTAATTCAATTGCATCCGTTACGTCGTTGTCGTTCATATTGGAATTTAAATGAGTAAAATAATTTTTTTTTATATTTCAATTATTATTATATGCATATGTTTCGAATGAACATTCAAGTGGGTAATTGATTTCAACATAATTTAATTATTTTTCTATTTCGTTAGATAATTTTATAAAGATTTTAGAGAACTTATTCGATTTCACTGATGACTAATAAAAGATTTTAATGAATTTATAAAAAAAAAAATACTTGGTAAATAAATAAGATATTAATAGTACAGCTATCTTAAACGCAGTAAAAGATTTAAACAGAATAGGAGCAAGAAAAAGTATTCATACCAGTCACATTCTAGATGGCTTAACAGAAAAAAAATAATCGCAGACAAAGAGAATGCACAACTTACCATGAATACAATGCATTGAGAGAAAAGAAAATAGAAGTTTTTGTAAGTTGTAAATATTGATAAAATAGCATCATGATAAATATATTAATGAATATGTTCAAAATATATAAATAAATAATTCAACTAATTTGACTATTCAAATTGATACTGCAACGAAAGAATTAAATCCCGAATAAATTCATTTAGATGTTGAACATTTCTTGTAAAACCAAACTTAACAATTCAAAACTTGTATTGAAAGACGACAAAATTTATTGATAAACACACAGGTCTTGCAGCGATACTACTTTTCTGACTTTATGCTGGTATTTCACAATCTATCTCTCAGAACTATATTTCAATGATATACTGAAGAAGATTTGCATTGGATTAGTTTGTCGAGTTTTTTTTTTTCACACAGAAAAAACTACGATGTGCAATTTCTATTTATTGAAATCATTCGTTTTTCTGTTTTCTTCATAATCACTTTAAGTTTTATTATTTTTAACATTATTTAAACTTATATTTTCTTTTGATATGTTAATCTTAAAGTCAAAATTAACCTGCATTTCGAATGATTAATATAATTGAAAAGTTTTTCTACATTTGGAAATATTTAGTTCGAACTAATCAACATGCCAGAAGAGAATTAAAATGCAATTGAATTTCTAATATAATATAGCTAATTAATATAATTAACTAGTGTATATTTCCTGAAATAGAATTATCCTAAGAATGTTTAATTTATACAATTTGTTTTTCAAAAAGAAATATCGAACTCATTTCCTACAAAAAGATTGAAAACATTTTTTTCTCATTGGAAATGACTTCTCATCTTATTAGTTTTTCATTACAAGGTATCCAGCACATTCAAAAAGGTTTGAATCTACCGTCGTAATTCATTTCGAATAATTGCACATCACACATATATCCTATATGGTACTGGGTAACTTTCAAGAGAACTTTGAAAAATCTAGCCTTGCTCCTACAATCTCAAAATGATAATGCGGGTGTACCTTTTATTTTCTCTTGATTACTCTTCACGATCTTTGTCTAAGCAGCGGATGTTTTAATTTTAAGCAATCATCATTAATCGATTTTTGATATATGTACATTTTATATAAGACAGAAATATTAGAAAAAAATTTACATTTTCCTAATTCCAAAATGCACGCTACTGCGACCTCTGAATATTAGATGTTAAATAGTTTTTATAACAATAAGCTGCATTTTTCCTCTCTTTTATTGTTTTATAGAAAAAAATGGATGAAAAACAAATTTTTTTTTTTAATGCAATCACTATTTACCTAAAACTCAGCTTATTGCTCTATGCATTATTGGAGCTTATGTTATTTCTCTTACTGGATGTGACATCTGTCTGATTATTTTGATTGCATGTAAATAATGGCCAGTTATATTTGTTCCACGGTTGAAAAAATAACTGTCTCATCGACATCATTATACACCCATTAATCTTCAACATGGATGCCGAAGGTAGAAAAGTGATTGTATGCGATAATGGCACTGGTGTAAGTTTAAATTCATTTGAAAGTTGTTTTTAAAAGAAAAAAAAATATTATTTTAGTATTTAAAATGTGGTTATTGTACATCGAATTTTCCTGATTTTGTATTTCCATGTATGGTTGGACGACCATTGATTCGTTCTCGTACTAAAGTAAATAATATTGAAGTTCAAGATATAATGGTTTGTGATGAAGGTAATTATGGTTAAATTTGTTTTTTTCATTTATATTCTATTTTGAATTCTTTTCCTAGCACAAAAAGTTCGACAAATGCTTGAAATAAATTATCCTGTTGAAAATGGTATTGTAACTAATTGGGAAGATATGAAACATATATATAGATATTTATTTGGGCCAAAAAAAATGAATATTAATCCTAAAGAAGCAAAAATTCTCTGCACCGAAGCACCACTTAATCCAATAAAAAATCGTGCTGAAATGTTAGAAGTTATGCTTGATGAATTTCAATTTCATGAATGTTCATTAGCTTATCAAGCAATTTTAACCTTATATGCTCAAGGAATTTTAACTGGTGTTGTTGTTGATATTGGTGATGGTGTTACGCATGTTTGTCCTGTTATTGACGGATTTTGTTTACAAAATTCTATTGCAAGACTTAATATAGCTGGGAGAGATATAACAAGATATTTAATTCGTTTATTACTTCTTCGTGGTGTAAGAAAAAAAAAAAAAAAGAAATATTTAATTTTTTGTAATACTAACACAAATATCGACTAGGAAAACAAAAGATATTTTCATTGATTTAGTTAATTAATCCGTTCTTTTATAATGACTTGAGTCTAGGAAAAAACTTCAGTAACGTAATCAGCTTGAGCGAGTAAATATAGCACTGAGAGAATATTTGCCAAAGTACATCATGAGTTACAATTAACAAGAGGCTCCTGCAGAATTTTCATGTAGTGTCTGAGAAAAATGTAAATATTCAATCGGTTAGACATAACATAAATCATTACTAAGAAGATCCAATAAACTCATACAGAAATTTCATTATTTGTTACTGATTAATTGCTTATGAAAAATAAATTTATATATTCAATTTTTAGTATGTATTTAATCAAACAGCTGATTTTGATACGGTTCAACAAATAAAAGAAAAACTTTGTTATGTTGCTCATGATCTCGATGAAGAACGACGGCTAGCATTAGATACAACTGTTTTAGTTGAAAGTTATACATTACCTGATGGTCGAACAATAAAATTATCTGGTGAACGATTTGAAGCACCTGAAGTTCTATTTCGTCCATCATTATTAGGCATGGAAGTAAATGGTGTTGCTGAACAAGTTTTTAAAGTTATCAATAGTGCACCATTAGATGATCGACGTAAACTTTATAAGCAAATTGTACTTAGTGGTGGTACGACAATGTATCCAGGATTTGGTACACGTCTTGAAAGAGAATTAGAAAAACTTTATGAAGAACGTATTCTTAAAGGACAAACAGATAAATCAGCAAAAAATGTTATTTGTATTGAAGCTCCACCACGTCGTAAAAATATGGTATTTTTAGGTGGTGCTGTATATGCTAATTTAGTTAAAGATACACCAACTCAATGGATATCACGACGTGATTATCTTGAACATGGTATTGATCGATGTGTACAACGATTAAACCAAATATGTCCACGATAAAAACATTCATTTAAACAAACGGATTAGTTCATTTATCCCGTCCGCTTTTTTTTTCTTTCTCTTTCTAAACTCTTTTTTTTTTCTGCTAGCTCAATTTGTTTTTTTTCCATATTTACTTCATTTATCTTCTTATCGGGTTTATTTTTCTAACACAAAATATTTCCTATGTGTATAACTCATGCTTTCTTCTTCTTCTTTTTTTTTATCATTATTTAACATAAAATGGATGACTACACTTGTAGATTATAATGGTTAATCGTATTTATTGTGCATCAATCGTATTAATTTTATCGAGTATTGTATTTCTTTTAAGTGGAATATTATTAATTACTTTCTCGGATTCACTTATTAAGAAAACAGTGAAAAAGGTATAAAGCATTTTTGTTGTTGTTTTTTTTTTTTTTTTTGAAAGTATTGATTTATTCTTTTGAAAGGAATGTCAATTAAAACAAGGCACAATTCTTTATAAAATTTGGCATGATACTCCTGTACCTTTATATATTTCAATTTATGTATTTGATCTTGTTAATGAAGTTGAATTTCTTAATGGAGGAAAACCACATCTTATTCAACGTGGACCATTTGTTTATAGGTAAATTTAATTATAAGAATAAAATCTTGGTTGATAATTGTATCTCATTCAAAGCCTTAACGAGAATAATTCATATACAAAATTTTAAAACTTTTGCATGCAATATCTCTGAGATATTAATTTTTCAAAATCTCTACGTTTTATACAAAATATCAATGAATAGGTGTCAAAATAATCTCTTTGTGATCAGCAATAACAGCGAAATCGTGTTTTACATTTTAATCCTGCGAAAATTGTGCTAGCAGCGTTTTCTTTTTCTGTAACTGGGAGTAATTGCATTTCTATGTGAAAATCAATAGTAATATATTAAAATGGTTAACTAATCTATTTGTAAAAATTATGGCGGAGATATTTAATTTTTGTTTTCTTTGATTATATTTTATTTGTTTGTTTTCTATTCCTTAAAGGGAACAACGAACAAAAGAAGATATAAGATTTTATCCTAATGGAACAATATCATATCGTGAATCACGTAATTATATATTTGATCAATCAAAATCACCTTTGGATGAAACATTTCGTTTTAATACAATCAATGTTGTTTATATGGTAGATAAAATAAAAGACTAATTAATTATAAATTAAATATGATTTTTCTTTTTATTCTGCTAGACATTAATCAATTATCTTCACACACAAAATGTTCCTGATTTATTTCGACAAATTATTGGAACAATATTATCGTTTGTAGAAAAACCAATTATGCAACGAACAATAAAAGAATATCTCTGGGGTTATCAAGATCCAATATTAAGTATACTTAAAAAACGTTTACCTCAATTAGTAATGGATGATCAAATATCAGTATTTGCTTCTGTGGTAATGATAATTTCTTCTTTTTTTTTTTTTTTGTTTTGTTTTATTCTTTTACATTTCATAATTTTAGGTTAATGAAGCACAATATGAAACAATTCTTATTAATAATGGTGTTGGTTTTGATGAAAATCATAATGAACGTTTAAATAATCTTGGTAAAATTGAACGATTTAATTTTTCAACATCTTTATCAATATGGTCAAATAAATATGCAAATATGATCAATGGAACTGATAGTACTATATGGCATCCAGATGCAAGAAAAGATGAAACAATTTATACATTTATGAACGACATATGTCGATCGGTTCATCTAAAATATAATCAAACACATAAGAATTTATTTGATATTAATACTTATCAATATATAATACCAAATGATGCATTTGCAAATATAAGTGATAATGAAGGATTTTGTTTGAATTATACAATGACAAATGAAACACAACAATTAAAATGTTTAGCTAGTGGATTATTTTCGTTAACTCCATGTCTACATTGTAAGTTTATCATATAAAGTTATCTCCGAGCTCTTCATAATCTATCTTCAGCTAACGATAATTATTGTCTAGTAGAGCTAAAAAGCTGTGTTCTGCTGTTTAGAGGGCTGCAGGGTGCAGGATTTTTATAACCTGTAACCTGCCCTGTAAATTTTTTGTAACCTGATCCTGCCCTGCCCTGTGAATATTTTTCCTGACCCNCTTAATTCAGCTATACAAGATTGAAGTTGTTTAAGTTTATTATTGTGAGCTGATAATAAACGTATTTCAATTTCATTTTTGTTGTTTTTTGGAGGACGTTTTATTATATTTTTTCGATTTTTTGGTGGACGAATATAAGGTAACAATTTTTCTTTAAGTCGTATATTATGATTAGTTATTCTATATGAAGATTTTAATTTTGAATTATTCATATGATGAGTAGTTTCAGGTGAATGTTGTTTTTGTGGTAATGGTGAAATATACTTTTTATTATTATCTATATTTGTAATAACATTTTCATGTTCTTTATCATCATCAAAATCTATAAATGAATATAAAAATAACATATTTAAGATTGATAAAAAATAAAGAGGATTTATATTGAACCTGATTCATAGGCTTTTGATTGAGGTGAATCAATAGGTTTTGATTGAGACGAATCAATATGTTTTGATTTAGATGATAAGGATGCTGATGTTTTGTTAATATTTTTTGTCGATGGTATATTTTCATTATTCTTATTAGCTATTAAAATAAATTTAACGAATAAAATACATAACTTAAAATATTGATTTGAATAAAGCCTTACATATTGTATCTGAAGCTGTTTGTGGATGATGAATAGCAGGTTGAATTCTGATAAGATTTTCAACGGCTGCTGATGGTGATATATCATCTTCTTTTTGTTTTTTTTCATTATTATCATTATTAGTTTTTGTTTCACCAAAAAATTCATTAAAACTGTCAACTGAGCCTTTACGTGAGGACATAACTGATAGTGATATTTATTTTTTTATATGTCTATTCTTATTGTTGAGAGATTTATCTATCTATATAAAAAGAAGAAAAAAAAAAAAAAGAAAGAATTTTATGTCACATATTGAAGCAAAACGAATAATTGCTGCTATGCAAAGGAATCATAGCGTAATAGAGGTAAGCAGAACACAGCAAAGAAACCAAGGTAACGTTGTCGTCTATATATGTGTGTTTGTTCATTTTACCTGCACGAACAAGAATAAGCCATCAATCAGCGCGTCGGAGAAAGAATAAAAGCCATCATCACCATTTCTATTGTTATCGTCCTTCTCTCATTTCACTAGGTCATTCAGAATTGAATATCCGTGTCAAGATTTCAAAAAAAAAATAAATTGAATTGTTTTTATTCTTTTAGGCTGTTCTTTTTTCTTTTTTGGTCTTTGTCACATGCGAATAAATGATTCAGAATGCATATGTTTATTAACGCCATATTAATTTTATTTTTTTGAAAATAAAGAAATATAAAAGAAAAAACGAAAAAAAAAAATAATATGCTTGACCATAAGGTAAACATTTTGTGTTACGACGAGAACGTTGATCGATGAAATTCTCGTATGGAATAGATGATGATTACAAATCACTAAGAATGAAAAAAAAATTTTTTTTTTTCCATTTATTTGCTTTAAATTGATTAAATAAACTAAATCTTCATCATCATTGTTGACATCGTCATCAAATGGAACAAAACTTAATTGACTTGTATTGTAAAGTGCATTAAGACGAAAAGCTACAAAAAGAAAAGAATACAAATAACAATGCCGTAAATCTTTAGTTTTGAAGGTTTTTTTTTTAAATTTCATATGCTAAAATTATTATTTATAACTGATTAAACTTACCGTTATTAAATATTGAGAGATTTAATAGTATCAAAAAAAAATGCGAAGACTATTTGAACACATAAATTGAATTGAATATTGTAACGCTGATAAAATAAAATATTTGTACTTTTTGAAATGGTTAATTTATTCTTTTAGATTTTTTTTCCAATCGATCTTATAATGTTTTTCTTGTTAAACTATTTATATGATTCTCTCTTTTGTCTTATGTACCTGATTTCTTCTTATTTCTGTAATATGATGAGAATTAAATCGATAAACAAGTATTCTTCTTGAATATTATTCATTGTACCTTAGAGTACTGACAAAAGTTTCTTTGCAATGAGAAAAGTAATTGATAAAACTAAGTAGTTGGTTGTTTTGCTTTTTTTTTTAAAGAAGCTTTTCAAGTATTATAAAAGTAGGTTGAAGAATGAAGAACGTTGACGAATAATTATGTTCGACAGTTTATGTATGTGTAATATATTTACTTGTTTTTAACCTTCAAATTGTCATAAAGCTTTAGTCTTGGATAATAGAAAATTGAAACTATGAGATACATAATTATTCTTGTCGGACTATGAAGTTTTTACTTCATTTTATCAAAATGTCCCGGCTCTAGAACTAAAACAAATAGTATTAACACAATCTTTAAGAAAAAAAAACACTATTTAATTACTGTAGTTAAAGAAAAATTGTTTCATTTAAGTTTAAAGGCGTGATGGTGGAATTTTGTACGAAAATTCGTTTTTACAAGTGATTTTAAAGAACTAGTAAGATCTCTTGATGTCATTATTATAATCAAGAAAATAAATTATCCAAAGATTATATATTATATTTGAATTGCATAGTATCCAATAGTGATGGGGATTAATTTGATATAACTCAACTGAACACAAGATGTTCAGGTTCGTTTCTTTTTCAATCTTATTACAATAGGATTGAGAATTTGGATGAATTCATGCATAATATTATTTTACTTAATATGATTAATATTTTCCAAACCAATAGTTTTGATCATCGATCTCGACTTCATCTCTTTTCATATCGTCAAAACTAACGAGAGAACTTTCTCACATATTCCCGTCTGATTTCAATGATTTTTTTTGCCTATAAATAATGCATTGTGTTCTAATAAAAATTCTAAACAAATTTGACTAACTTAGTCAAATCTCAATAGGAACTTAAATCGTTTTATGATTATTATTAGAACACAATGTAGTATCAATAAGGAAAAAAAATTGGAAGGATCATATGAGGAGGTTCGAATATAATTTTTCATGAGAAATTGCGCATTCACTTCGCAAATAAAACCGATGAAATATTCAGTATGTAGAGTATGTGAGTAATTGCCCAAGCGTTTCTTGAGGCACATTGACAGTGATAAAAACATGTTAAGACTCGATTAAATTTGGATATTTTTTAACATCGTTGACTTTCTTTTAAGATGTCTGTATTCCTTCACATTTTAGATTATTTATTTCATTGTGTGTACACCTAACATAACCAACCTTGAATTCCATTCTGTTGATTCACTTCTATTCAATTTTATTCATTTATTGAAAATAATTACACTCAAAACAGTGTCGAAGTCTGAACGACTTGGGTTCGGTGTATGTCTAAGCTAACATTTTAAAGTACATTTAACAAGAACGGAAACAGTACAAGGCATCCACAAATTCGCTAATACTTGTTCAAGAAATTTGAAAAAGATCTAGAGCTAACTATAAAATAAAATTTCCTACGAAGTTCAATATCATTTATAATATTCATTAAAATTTATTATTTTGCTACAAAATTTTCTATTATGATTAATTTTTTGTAAACTAGGCAACTATTCACAAATGATCATGGATAATCACGATCACTCTATAAAAATCGAATCTATATTCAAACAATTACTTCCTATGAGATCATCTACCGATCTAGACACTTTTAGCGAATACGTTATCATGGAAAAATAGTCAGAAAATCTCCTCTGCTAATAACCAAGACTACAAAATACACACTTTAGAATTATCATATGAAAGATTCCTCCTTAAAATTAAAGCTTTAGTTTATCTGGGCGAAATTGTTTATTTAAATGGCTTCTTTTAAGAATATACTTTGTTTAGTGTAGTTCGAAAAGGTTTTGGATTCAAGCGAGCATGTACTGTTAGAAATCAGAGTCAGGGTCGCGCGTGGGACGAGAAAAAATGTCACATGGGATCAGCAATCGCGAACTTGTCCATGTAGTATGGACCTGTTTTCAGAAATTTTGTCCCACGCAGGATGGAGCTATCCTAATATGCTTTGTCTCATATGAGATGGAAAGTTTTTCTTCCCGTTCCATGGGACTACACGCTCGTCAAATATAAAAAAAAAAACAACTCGAAATTTTTCATGTTCTTTCGGAAGATCTAGTAATTCTGATTCATAGACGGTGGAATGTTTTAATTCTAACGTAAGCTCAACATTTTTCGTAAGATCTCCATCTGGAAGTTAAACATGAAAAAGACGAGCTTTTGAATACTACAGAGAAAACATACAGTTAATGTCTTTTTTTATTAAACTTACATTTTGTAATTTGACATGAGGTGTCCATGAAAAATAAAATTTATCCTGTTTTACTTTTAGACCTTTCAAGTTGTCCCTTTAGCACCCCTTGGTATCCTAACTTCAACAACACCCATATCTTCATCCTCCCATACGTTCTAAAAGGACTAAAGTGTAACAAATATGAAAGTCTTAGCAGTTTCCATAGTATAAAAGCAAAACGCTATAAATTTATTTTTCTGTGGACCTATGACTGGATCATATTGGATGAGTGAGCGACAGTGGCTGAGAAAGAAGAACATAGGATAGGCGACAAATTGTGGACGGTAGTGAGAAAACGTGACAGTATGATGATGAATGAACGAGTAAAAATCTGGATCTTGAGAATTACAAGATGAACGATTAATAGTGAGAGTGAGTTGATGTGAGAAAATGATATCGAATGGATGTATGAGGTTATTATTCAGACCCATCAACCACCTATTTTGCGTACCTCTTTCTCAGGCACTGCCGTTCACTCATCTAATGTGATTCTGCTTTGAAACCTTTAAAACAAAATATAATCAAGGAGCTTTGCTCCATATTATATGTTCGATTTTAAAAGATATATAACAATTGAGTTACTTCAATGAGACTTCGTATGACAAATAATGGCGAATACCTTGAACATATAACAGAGTAAGATTTTTGAAAATATCATTTATTTAATAAAAACGAAGATGTTTCGAGAAAGTTTTAGTCATCCTGTATAATTTATAAATGAAATAGTTTTTTTTTTGCTTATGCCTAGAAGGATATGCCGATATTGATATCACATCTCGCTGATCATTCTTTCTTCGTTATCTTCTTTCTATATGCAACTTTTCTTTTATCCAGTAAAGTGCAAAACATATTAATTTTTCAGAATTTTCTATAGTTTGAATGTTATACTTTTGCTTAAAATATTTAATATTACAAACACTGTTAATTCCTATATCTATAGTCTTGTCTACACTTATGAATTTAATCCATCAATCAAAACTGATAAATGGCCACTATAATGTAGTCAATGTGTCTAATTCTGGCACATATTCATGAAACAAATTGTCGCTTCTATCACTCTTTAATAAGTAACAATGACTGACTAATGAAATTTCTTAACAAAGTATCTACCGCTCTGACTTAATTCTTACCTTGCTTAAACTTTGATAATCATTATTTTTTTTAAAAATGAAAATACTTTTGAACATTCTATACTAATGAAAAATATACATATATTTGATATAACAAGAATATAGATTACTGTTTTTTCACATTCATAAATAAGATATGTATCAATTATTATAGAAATAAACTTATTTTCAGTTTTTAAACGTATGCATAATAAGAAAATGTTTGTATAAAGGGTATCATATGATTGACTACAATATACATAGTAGAACGAAAGAATGAAATGATCATTTTCGAATACGTTCTGTTGAAAGTAATAATATCAAAATAAAACATTTATAAACTCATTTGTGATAGACTGAATGATAAATTTTTTTTTTTCATAGGTAATTCACATAATGAAATAATTATTAAATAAGATTCAGAAAATCTTTCTAAAAGTTCAATAAATCCATTTCAATAATAAGAACATTTAAATATTGACATCTTATTCCTAGTATCATTCATGGTAATTTTTCTATTCTATTATTAGAATTAAACATCAATATTGAAATAATAAAAGCAGAAAATTTTTACAATTAATCAAGCCTATTAAACCCTTTATATGTTCTGACTCTGCCACATATGCCCTGATCAATATATAATCTTATATAAAGTAGCTGTTTGAATAGAAATTTAATATTAATTGTATCATCATAATTATCCATGGTTGTTCAACTGTCTTTGAGTGATTTACAAATGGCCTTTGTAAATATATATATATATATTTATGCTTATTGATAATAAAGAAATGATATCGATATATTTAAAAAATAGCTTTTTAATCAACTGATATTCAATCACTGATAAGTAGCTTTGATTTATTCTTTTAATTTTTCAATTTGTCATACCTATGAATACGAAATAACAACGGTATTTGACACGTTGAGAAAACAAACAAATAAACAAACGAAGAAAAAAAATATATATATGTATATAGATCTATTCAAAATGATGAAACAACAGTTCCAAGAAGACCATCAATAATATCAAGTGAATCTGTAAGTGTATAAAATAATTGTGAACGATTTTCATTTATATATTCTAAATATGTTGGATAATCATTACATTCATTTAAATGTTCAATATATTGTATATGATGATCGAATGATGGTGAATTTTTAATATAAGAATAATTAATTGAAGATTTATTTGGTGTTTTTTTAAAATTATGTAATAAACTACGTGCCCATGAACGTGAATCTTTTTCAAAAGCTACTGGACGATTATAAAGAGATTGACGAGTTAAATAATCACTTGGTGAAATTTGTTTTGAATCTAATTAATATGAAAAAAAAACAAATATATTTCATTCTTATGTAATAAAAATTTAATTTTTATTTTTTTATTTTTTTTTACCATATTTTAAATGATTTTGTTCAATTTGCCAGTCTGTATCTTGATCATGTTTTAATGTTTGAGCACGTAAATATTCAACAATATTTAAACTTGGTGAACTTGTTGATATTGGTTGAAGTTTATCAAACCAATTAAAAATTTCTGGTTTATCATCAAATGATGATGAACCAAGTAATTCAGTTACATCAAACATCTTTTTATTATTATTATTATTAGTTATTAATTCAAATGATGATGTATCAACCACTTGAGATATATCATTTGTTGTTACATATGAATGATAATCACTTGTCGATAAATCAGATTTTTGATGAATTCGAGATTCATCTTCATCATCATTTATATTTAATGGATCTAAATCAATTTCAAATATTTTCATCTAGATATTTAAAAAATAAAATACTATTTACCCATAGTAAACATCATGAGATCATCATCTGAATCATTATTATTAATTGAACTCATTAAGATTATTAATAAGTTCGTATTCACAAGTGCTTATACAATCTGAAATAAATTATTATTTTATATTACTAATTAAATACTCATCTTATTTTATAAAGAACAAATAAAAATATGATATACTATTCAAACGAGAACATATACATTATGCAATAGAAATGTTTTCGGAAAATATTTCTGATTTTGACCAATTAGATCATAGAGGTTAATTTAGAGATATATTTCGACCTCGGCGTCCGATATTGTCAATATATATGTAATTCTTTTGTACAACACCGACGGCCTGAGTCCCAAATCGACTAGACGAATTCGCACTAAACATGATTGGTGTAAAATTTAAAACACACTTATATCATCTTTTTTTTTTTCAATGCACCAATCTAATCGTTGCTCGATTGAACAGAATAATAGATAGATAAATGAAAATGATGTCGCTCGAAATATACTAATCATTTTAAAATAGTATATCAGGATTATTAAATCTTGTACAGATCATGAATTGCTAAAACATACAAAGTTTTCGTTTGTTTTTGACCAAGTGGGGGGGGGGGATTTTTTTTCCCAAAGAGAATCTGCTAGGAGAAAACGAAAATATTTTTCCAGGGAGACTTTCTCCCAAAATTTTAGGAGGGGAAAATTCCCTCCCTTCCCCCCCCCCCCCTAATCGTATGGCCTGAAAGCATATCTTAGTGATATACAGGCCGAATCGTGTTGGTTCGAATTTTATGATTCGTATGACTTCTAATTTCATTACTTTTTAAAGTTTACTCATAATTCATTTATTCTGTTAGAAAATTTTGAAAGACGTAAGTCGTGAGAATATGACATTACATGCAAGTCTTTCAGAACTATCTTACCCATATCGGCATAGATAACACAAGAAAAAAAATGTTTTCAGTACTTGAAAACATATTAGCATTCAGATATTTTTACGACAGTATGGCACGTATGCTCAATTCTGATTGATGAACTAATTGGTATAGAAAGGAAGGGTGTTGATTTACAAAAGAAAAAAAAAAATTGTTCTATTTTTCTAATTTATTTTGGATCTACGATCGACTCATATGGAGACTTAGCTCTTAATAATGCCCGTCTCCTATAGTGAATTTCTGGATGTGTTACTAATTGATTCATTATAGCTCGACAACGGTTATACCTTAACTAATCGGCTTATATCTGTTCTTCAAGTAATAGCTTCTTTATTTCAAAATTTATTGTGTCAAGAATTGGACAATATTTCCCTAAAACAGGAAAATAATTTCGTTTTTAGTATACATGTGATTCATCCACACACGTTTATAGAGAATATTTTCTTTAAAAAAAAAACAGTAGTTGCTACTTACATGCATTTGCGATAGCAAAAAAAAATGGAATATTTGTTGAGAGAAAATCTTTCTTTCATTTCATTTGTCCATAAATAAGAACAAATTCTCTCTATCAATCGATTCTATTGTCTAATGCTATTAATTTCTTATCAATGCATTTTCTATTGCATATTTTAAGTTTGTACTAACTCGTTTCAGAGTAAATTCTAACTACATGCACCAAATAGATCCAAATAATCTCTAAATATTCTAAAAAAATCATATTCTTAGTTTATTGCTACGTAGATATTCCATTTGTACGGTATTTTCTTTTTAAACGAATGCTGTGGTAATAGGAAAAAGTGATTTTCGACTTGAAACTTTGTACAGAGAGAGATCTTAATGATAGCAGTTTATTTTTGAAAAATTTGACGTCTTTTAATTAGCTTCTATCTTGAAATAAGAACAATGAAAAGGTCTCAAACTATTCTCATTAAAACCTGTTTTTATGCAAAAACCTGTACAAATATTTTTCAGGACATTCATACCTCATTTAGATCGACATTATACACATAGTCTCGAATCAAAAATCATGTATAAATTCGAGAACTTACCTCATAAATTATTCTAAGCATTTCAGGACTACTCTTTTAAAGATAACTAACCAACAACAACAAAAAAATGATATTCAGTCATAATATATTCATTAAATGACTAAATAAAATCCACTGACAGGAAATAAATGTTGTAAGTTATTCAATAAAACGAAAATGTCATACCAAACTTTTCATGTAGTTGTATTCAAATACAAAAAAAAAAAGACCAAGGGTATTCAAATCTACATAAGACAAAATGAAAGAAAACGTGTGAAGAGAGAAAGTTCAAGATTATTAGATAGTTCATTCAAAAATACGCTTTAAAATCTGGTCGTTCAGCATATGGAATTTTTCCTGCATTACAATCCTTGTTATATTGAATCTAAGCATAAATATATAAAACAATCAAGAAATATTTCAAAAAGAAAAATTATATTTTTAAACTTACACGTCTTTTTTGTGCAAAATATTGTAATAAACCTCCAACAAGAAGAAAAAGTGCTGGTGCAAGAAGTATTCTTGGTGATGTATATAAATAACGATAACTATTTTGTTGATATGCATAAAGACGAATATTTTGTGGATCAACCTATTGACACAAAAAAAAAAAAAATATTAAATATTCAATATAAAAAAAAAAACAAAATAAGCTAAAAGATTATCTTACAAAATGTCCAGGTACACTTGCATAAAATGGATTTCTATAACGTTTAAGAAATTCTGCTTTAGTTGTAAGACGTAATTGTGCACGTTTTTGTATTAATTTTATTTCATCAGGTGTTAAGTCCCATTCAGATGGGATTGCTTTTGCAGACATTCCTTTTTTTTTTGCTTCTAAGAAATAATGAAAAAAAAACAAAAGACAAGTGTAGAAATTTTTTTTCTACCATTAAGAAATTTTTTTTAACCTTCATTTGGGTGTTTGTTTTGTTTTTTGCTTCTTATTGAAGTAGATGTCGCATTTTATTTTATTTTTCGCTAAAATGAACAGAGGCTTGAAGAAGCATGTAAAGGTTCTTACGTGGCTTGATTTATTGTGTTGTTCTCTAATTTTCCACCTACACACACGTGTCTCTTTTCCATCGATTATTTAAAGATATTCAAATCTATATAAAAAGTAAGATAAAACGTCGAAAACAAAAGTAGAAAAAGATCAATTGATTATTATTTTAATAGAAGTTAAATCATGCCGGCTCATCATTCAAAACGTAAACGAGCTAATGAAGTACATAGTGCAAGAGTAACACAACGTGGTAATGTACCAAAATCAACGAAACAGGCTGATGCTAAAACACCTGTTGGTCCATGGCTTTTGGCATTATTTGTTTTTGTCGTTGTTGGTTCTGCTGTCTTCCAAATAATTCAAAGCATTCGAATGGCATAAATGTGAACATTTCTATGATCGTGTTTGTGTCTCTCTCTAAAATGTTCTTTGATTTTTTAAATTCTTCTTTTGTTTTGTTTTTCGTTTTCTTTTTTGGAAGAATGATTTTGTGAAAACTGTTCATTAAATGATAAGAGCAGCGAATCATTATCTTTTCTTCTTTATTATTATTATTATTATCATTGTTGTTGTTTTTTTTTCTTCTTCTTCTTCTTCTCTTATTTGTACTTCATTTAACACCACAAACATTATATATTCGTTTTATTATTTGGATAAAAACATCAAACAAACTGAATTCCAGCGGTACACAATGAGAAATTGGGATAGAAACAGTTTTAGAAGCTTGTTTTTTTTTTGTCAATGTGAACATTTTATTTCTTTTTTTTTTTGTTTTCATTTTTACCATCTATAGTCAACTATCTTTTTCGATTTATTGGGTTTCTTTACATGATTCGTGTGTTGTAAAAAAAAAAACGATGATAAAAAAAACTTGCGATGAACAGAATAAAAAAGCAAGAAATAAATGAACGAAAAATATATCTATAGGGATTTTATTTTTTTCCTTCAATAGTTTCATTTCATCTAAAAAGTATGATGATTTATTTTTTTTTTAAAGTGAGTAATAAGATAAATAAACAACTAAGAGAAAAAAAAAACAGAAGATAAATAAACCAAGCAAACGAACGACTACTTTTCCTTATTCCAGATTTGTAGTCTAATGGCAGACGCTAATAGTTTAAGACAGCGATTATCATTACTCGTCGATCAGATTACACAAGATGTTCAAATAATTGAATCAAGTAAAAATGTATAAAACATAATATTTCAATTTTATTTTCTTGTTTTTATTTCAATAGCACGTAGTTTAAGTTCTAAACATCGTGTAGAAAACTCGATTAATGAAGCAACTAAATTAGTATGTTATTTTTTTTTTATATGAAATAGATTTTCAAAACAATATTTCATTAATAAGGCTCGTGATCTTGAACGTCTTGATCCATCATATGGACGTGAATATAGGCAACGTATTGATGCAATTCGTCAACGTTTAGTATGTTCTAACTATTCATTAAATTCTTAAATTAAAAACAAGTTTTATTTTTAGGAGAATGTGAGCAAAGTTCCTGTACATGGTGCATGGAATTCTGGATTTGATCCAGAAGTTGATGTTAGTTGAATAATATTTCAAAATTTGTTGTTTTTCTTTTCTTCTCTTAATATTATTTGTTTCGATTGTTTTTAGAGACTTGGACAACAGCAACGTGATTTACTTTTACGTGGTCATGGTTCATTAGTCCGTACTGGTGAATCATTACAAATATCTCGTCAAACGGCTCATGAAACTGAACAAATAGGAAACGAAATAATGTCTGACTTAACAACACAACGTGAAGCACTTTTACGTACACAAAATAAAGTGAAAAAAAAAATTAATTTCAGAAATATAGAAAAATAATATTTATTAATAATTTTAGTTAAATGAAGGTGGTGAACATTTGAAATCTGGTAGTAAAACACTTCGATTAATGTATAGCAGGTAAAATACTAAATAGATCTTTTCAAATTAGTTAATTTAATAATGAATTATGTTTTATTTTTATTTTTAAAATCAAATAATAAACTGTAAAATAGTAATAAGATAGTTATGATCTTGACAAGAATATTCATTCTATTTATAAGTAAAATAATATGAATAATTGAGACATTTTTCTATGTAAATTTTACAGTCAGTATTAGTAAATGACTCAGTGAGATTAACGATTTTCTATTGAAAATTAGCTAACATGTCGAGAAATCTTATTTTTGTTTTAATCACAAGCATAATCAATAAAAATATTCAGTCTCTACTGAAAAACAAAAATCTACAGTGCACGTCAAAAGTCTGACTCCAATTTTCTCTTTTGAGTCGTCTATTAAAACTACACAACATTAATTTAACTCCATAATATGCTTGGATAGCAGATTCAGTACTATATATATACACCTGCTCCATTTCAAAACCTCCTGAATATGAAATACAATAAGAAAAACAAACCTCAGTACTAAGAAAAAAGTGACATAAAAAACTACAAAATGATAAAACAAAAGTTTGGAAGACTTTTTTTGTGCAATAGAAATTTCTTTATACGGCTTTTATACAGCTTCCGACGGCGCATCTTTTGAGAAAACATCAAGATGCTATCATTTTCTTAAGCCGAGATACACGCAAAATATAAAAGTCTTCCAAACATTTTCATTATGTTAAATATGGTGGGAAGTAGCACTATCATGAATTTTCTTTTCATTTTCAAGTATGGAAGAAACTATCAAAAGAAGTCAATAAGGATTGTTCTTACATTTTTTTGTAGAGCTTTTCACGATACATTTTTTGAAAGAAAAAACAAGATTTCATCTTTTGTCTATGCAGAAATATTCGCTAAACAAACTATGTTGCAAACATTTTGGTACATCCGATATTTCACAGTATTTAATATTTTGACTATAATGCCATCATTTCTCAATGAATTTGAAAATGTTTTTTTACCAAAATGATTAACGAAAAAAGCTCTACAAAGTCTCATAGAATAAAAAGTTTTCTGATTACTTTTTGTTTTTTTTTAATGATTGGCTGACCATGGAAGCATTGTATAACAACAATATCATTTTGTAGTTTTTCATTTCATTGTTTTCTTAGTACTGATGTGTGTTTTTCTTATTGTATTTCATATTGAAGAGATTTTCGAATTGAACAGGTACATATATATATAGTACTCAATCTCTGCTATCCAAACATATAATTGAATTAAACTAATGTTGTATAGTTTTAATTTACGACTCAAAGGGAAAAGGTGGGGCCAGACTTTTGACGCGCACTGTAGTTCTAATACCGAGTGTAGTAATACATATTGTAAGCAAAAATGTTTGAAATACTTTGCTATTAACTGTTACTTATTTTGTTATTATTATGTTCGTTGTAGAATATTCAATTCGACATGAATAACAATCGTTATCTTAATTTTGATCTTAGTCAAAAAAAAAACGTTCTTAGTCCTAGTCTTGATGGAACTAAGATTTTCTTTTTTCATGTGTAATCTTATTAGTTCAGGTGCTGGAAATTAGAATAGAGCTTGTTGAGTAACCTATAACAATTTGAATACTTCAAAAATGTCAAGTCTCAATATTTATCCCAATTTTTTTATTATGAGTTTTTGAATTTGATGACTAAACATGATTGATACACGTTTATATTGTAAGACTTTGATCATCAAAACTTCATTTTCGATAGAGAGAAAAATTTGGATGAATACTGAAGCTACTGAGGCTGGATGCTTTCGGTGTATTGAAATTTTTATAGACTTTTTTTGACCTAGCTGCCTCTAACGAGGGAAGTTTCTCAACTGATAGATCGCTTTTCAGTGGAGATTACCAGCATTGTGTAGAACTATATATAGAGCTATCGTTTGATATTATTCAGAAGGAAGAAATCAAAGAGACAGCTATCTATTTTACACATTTGTGCTATCAAAAATCAAGATATTCTTATCGTATGTTTTGATCAAATGGGTTTTAAATATCCTTCAAAGAGTTTGTACTTTAACAATAGGCCTTAAACGAATGCCTTGATCCAAGAAGACTGATTTTCGAACTTTGACTTGAGATTTTACATAAAAATAGATCTTAACGAGTATGGTTTCAGATCTCGTCATTATTCCTATCTTAAGGGGGGCCCCCTCAGAAACGATTTTCCGCTTTTGACGGTTCTTTCATGCTGAAATTTTCAGGGATGACTGATCTTGGAGAGATACGCTTCTGGTAAAAATTTCAGCTCGATTGGTCATACTAGACCGCATTTCCAGCTGATTCATGGGTCATTTTTGGCCTTCAGGAAAATCGGTATAACTCCGTCATAAGAAAAGTTAGAGAGTTCGGGCTGGTTTCAAATTAAAGTACCTGTCAGTACGCAATTTTTNCAATAATTTCTCTTGAATTCATTACAAAGAACACAAAAGATAAAGGACATATTCATATAATAGAAAAAGAACTCTATGAATCTACTTATCCAGTGTGAAATGAACCAGTTTCTATTGCACACCTCGCTGTAAAAAGGAGAAGTTGAAGAACATCGAGTTAAGCTTACACGCAAACATTTCATATATAAGTTTCACAAAAAGGCTAATCAGATGTCGCGTATCGGTGGGATAAGATGAAGAAGCGCTCACACCCATACCACATGCTCTTGTATACCACCAAAGAGCTTTATCTGAAGAATATTTTTTACTAAATTCTTTGACAATCTTCAATTCAGAATCATTGTCTTGATATATTGTATTACGAAGAGAAATTAATTCATCTTTGTTTACTTAAGTCGATTTTATACGAAGTAAAACATTGATAAACAGTTGAGAATGAACAAATTGACCATCTAATTCACTTGTAGATTGTCCTTGACCAGTGAATAAAATCTGCTCATTACCTTTCTTCCATCTCTCACGATCCGATTGAATTTGGGTGTGCGTGTAGGGTGTGCGAGTATCGGTATCTTCTATTTTCATCTCCACCTCCATCCGCACTCACACCCACACCTCACCATTAATGAAAAGTCCTTGAGGGGAATCCTTACTCTGACTTTTGGGATGTGGGTGTCGATGAAGATACCAACGTCTCACATCCTTATCCCACACCCACTTACACCCACACGTACATCGGTAAGTTCAACATCAGCGTTATACTGTACAGTTAAAGTTCATAAAAAGGATTTTCGATTAAGGCCCATTATGCCAATGTGTAATGCTCCAAATTATAAAATATCAACATATTTAGCAAATATATTAACAGAACAAAAAGAAAAAGATCCATCTTATGTCAAAGACTCCTTTCAATTTGCTGAAGATATAAAGAAAAAGAATATTGAAAGAAATGAAATAATGATAAGTTACAATGTTCAATCTTTAAATCCGAATGTACCAACCGAAGAAGTTATACGATTAGCAGTAGATTTAATATGGAAAAAATGAACAAAATAAATTTACAAAAATAACTACAAATGAATTTTTTATATTATTTAAACTGACAGTTAGAAACGTGCATTTTAGATTCTTCAACAAGTTCTATAGACAAACAGATGGAGTAGCTATGGGAAGTCCATTGGCACAAATTCTAGCTAATATCTTTATCAACCATTTAGAAAAACAAAAAATCTCACCATTAATCAAAAATAAAATTAAAACATGGAAAAGATATGTTGATGATATATTCACAATAGTTATAGGAGATAAAAAGCACAGCATTAATAATTTTTAATGATATTAACAAAGTACATAATAACATAAAATTTACGATAGAATTTGAAGAAAATAATAGTATTCCAGTTTTGGATGTTAATAATAAAAGAACATGAAGCATTATAGAAACATCAATATACAGGGAAAAAACGAACATCAACTTATATCTAAACTGGGATAGCTGTTTACCACGATATCAGAACCTATGTTTAATATCTTCATTAATTACTCAGGCATGTCGAATATGTTCATCTGATAAAATTTTAAATGAGGAAATAGCACATATAAAAAATGTATTATATCACAATGGCTACCCTAAAAAGATGGCAGAAAGAAGAATAAAAAACACCATATGTAAAGAAAGATTAACGATAATATTAAAAATAAATTAGATAAAGATAAAATTAATTTAATATTAAGTTATACTGGTTATGAATCCTTTAGATTCAGTAGAAGATTAATGAGAATTATACGTTCAACCAAAATTAATACTAGAATTATATTTAAAAAATACAAAACAGTAGGTTAACATTTCAGAGAATAAATAAAAGAAAAAATTCTAAAAAAAATAGGGGTAGTATATTGTATTGGATGCAACAACTGTAGCAATATATATATATAGGACAAACTGGAAAAGATATTGAAGTAAAAATTAACCAACATAAAGAAAAATTTAATAAAAAAGAATGATAAATTCTCGACTATAATGGAACACTCTGAAAACATGAATCTACGTTCAATTTTGAAGAACCAAATATATTAGCATATGATTCTAACGAACGAAAATGTTAAATCAAAGAAACACTTCGTACGAAGAAATTTTCACATTGGGCTTTGAATGAAATTTTATTCAATATAAATATCTTTTGAATGAATTTATACAAGGAATTGGATTAATCAAAAACCAAATAGATGAATCAACTTAAAGAGTTAAATAAAAAGATTTTTATATTTTCATCTGTTAAAATCTTCATTTTGTCTGATGATGATACGTGACTGTATCGAAAGCTCGCAATAAATATGAACTTTTTATCTATTTTCATCTTCATATTAAAGTTTATGCATAATTATATATGGCCTTCTATAGATTTATTCTACGTGAACTATACTATAATTCATTACATACTGATAGAACTGGCTTGAACCACAACAACACTTGTCTCGTATATTCGTATATGTTAGCTCTATGTATTGATGAGTTACTACAATCTAAATAAATTTTGCAAATTTATTATATTCTAATTTTAATTTCTTCATCAATGAATGTTCAGCTACAGTATCATCACAACCACATGCTAATGCACGGAATTATGTCTGTTTTTCGGTAGTTGTCTTGTTCTGAGCTCAGTAGATGCATAATGATATGACAGCAAATGTCAAAAATTAAAAATCACTCTCGATTCTCAAGTTTTCTGAGCTAGCGTTAAATACATATTAACAAGGTGCTAATTTTTTCGGCTGCTAATCATATGCGACTCTTTGGCATCCTTTTATAAGCAAAAACACCCACACCCTACTTGAATTCTTTTTTTTATTCACAAGCTTCTTTTCTTCGACAATAGAAATCCTCTTTTCATATAGCCTGTCAATGGGATGCTGGCATTACATCATTTTACAAAATCCTTTTTCCTATTAAAAATCTAATTACTTTTATGCATTCTCATTTTCCCACTAATTAAATATTTATAGAACACAAGCTTCTGAAAAAAATTTTACTCATAGATTAATTAAGAATTTAAATTTTCATAACCTTCTGCTGATAGACTATGTATGATAGTGATGAACTAGATGCGATTTCCTCATACATCTAATCCTATTGAATTGCACAAAATCTTTTTGCTTATGAAGAGCAAAATTATTCGTATCGATAACATTTGTTTTCGGTAATGAAGCATGTAAAGAACGAAGGGTTAGAAGAAAAACTTTTCTCATGTATTAAATGACTATTCCATTTTTCACGAACAGTTTTCCATAGAAAATCTAATTATTTCATAAAGACTCCCATTTTTTCGCAGACCAAGTATGTATAACAATAATGATTACGACAGGAACTTTTCTCATTCGTCAAAACATTATTTCATTTTACAAAATCATTTGCCCTATGAAAAATATGATTATTCCTATGAATTATGAGTTCGTCGCCGATAGAGTTTTTCGATAACTTTTGATGTATGTGCATTTTACTCGTAGGATGAAGGATTAGTGCATTCGATGTTTCTTTGTTAGTACTATGTTTTAAAATGAATCATTTTCGACTTCAACATCTGAGTTCCGCTCAAAATTTTCATTTATCTCAATGATGGAAAAGCAGTCCAATCCTCGTTCAGATTGTCTTTCTCTTGTTTTTCTTTTCTCTCGCCCCCACTCTCTTTTTTTCTCTCGCGCAACATATAAGCAATGAATGACATAGAAAAAAAGCTGACATTCAATAATGAGATCGATGTCATTAGAACTTAGAGTTCTGTTTATTTCTTCACTAATGATGACAGGTGTAGTCAAGTTTATGAAACCAATCGGATAAGATATGTTTATTTTGCTTTCCTCGATTACTGATGGCGACAGTTTTTACGCATGTTATGAAACGAATGAAAAACCTTAGTTCAGTTTGTTATTTTTTTCTGGAGTTCATGTATATTTTCGAAGAATATCATTGTTAGTGGAAGCTTAACTCGAGATTTTTGTGGTTCTTCCCTGTCCGCTGATCTTGGTCATGACAACGCCGACTAAAAGTCATCCTCAGTTGTCCTTGTCCCGAAAATTTACAATTCCTGGCAACTGGTAATAATGATGTGTGATTTATTACAGAACTAACGTCATTTTGAAACCCAGTATATTCTAACTGATATGAATACTGCATGTCGTGATATTTAATACAGGATAAGGATCTTATTGTAGATGCCTCTCAATAAGGCCTTAATATGAATGAGCTATCAGAAATAGACTAGGTCAGACATAGAAAAGTAAGAACTAATTTAATTCTAAATTTAGATCAGATTTAATAGTGTATATCAAAGTTTGTCACGAGTGGAAGATGTCGGCGTAGGAATGCTCACCGACAGACTAAATTATTGTATATAACAAGTTGATATAGTAGTTGAATCGAAACAACAAAGAATAAAATGATATTTCCCGTTTCTAATGTCGTATATCGTACATATTAGCATTTGAAGGAAACAAGCGATATCTAGAAGGTGTATCTGACAGCAAAAGAATTTTTTTATAGTTTAGTGATTTAAAATCAATCCTAGGAATCGGTAGATTTTTACAAATCATAAATTTCAGAAAGCGCATACCAACGATAACATTTATATTTTTTTTCATTTATTTATTTATTTTCATATTTTTCTAAATAAATTCTTTTAACTTCGCTGGTAGTATATTATTAATTTTATAGAAGTCAGAGTTTGGGAGTTGCGCACTTTGGTTGCCTTTAGAGGAGGGGAGGGGGGGGGGCGGCATGACACTGACAAGTTTATCTGTACAGCATTGTGTCATCAATGCTGTTTTTTGTCTTAAAAATTTCAAAAATTTTCATTGGACTCTTCGATTTATTTGACATTTGTACCCTTATCAAGAATTTATTTTAATTAGGAGAGAAAGATACGCGATGATCTGAATGATATTATAATAATTATTTTTAGACTAAAGAAAAACTTCTAACAATTTTCATAGCTGTTTCCTAAAGAAATAGCAGATCAGAAATGTCTTCTACTAAAGTAGCTGCATATCTAGCTTTTTGGAGTCCAATTGTCCTCTTTTCAATTGGAGTTCCAGGAGCTTTGTTAAATATTATTATTTTTATCAGCATGAAAACGTCTCGTCAATGTTCTTCTACTTATTATATTATTGGTCAATCTCTCTCTGATATTAGTGCTTTATTATCTTTACTTCTAACACTTGTGCCGTCCATAGCAAATCCTACTTCATCAATCGGATGCAAGTTGCTTTTCTTCTCGAATGAAGTAGCTGTAAGCTTGGCAATGAATTTCCAGTGTTTGATTGCATTCGATAGATGGGCATCTACATCAAAATCAGGTCGAATACGTAAACTGAGTTCGATTTGCATAGCTCGCTTTCTTTCTGCTATTTCCTTTTTCTTTTGGTTATTGATCAATATTCCTTTTCTTGTCTATTGTGGTTTGATACCACCCAACAATGCTTGTTGGTTCACTAATGAGCTCTTCGAAAATGTTTTCTCCATTATTCTTGCACCTGTTCTTGTTTGTATTGTTCCCCCTTTCTTTCTAATCATATTCTGTGTATTGACATATCGAAATATTCGTCTTCTCGCTCATACTCGATGTCAAACTGTACAAAGTCATCAATCAATGTGGGAGCAACAAATGACAAAAATGATACTTTCACAAGCCTTATTAAATATTTTCTGTGCACTTCCTCGTTCAATCTTCATGATTTATTCAATAGCTAGAAAAGGGAAAACTGAAACGCAAAGTTGGAATCAAATATCTGATTTACTTCTTGTCGATCAATTGACTATCTTTATTTTGAATCTGAATTTCGTTTCATCTTTCTTCATTTATCTTGTTTCATCATCGCGTCTTCGACAAACAATTGCAATGTATTTCAACGATCTTCTAGGTTTAAAAACTAATCAAATCAATCGTACAAACGCTGCTAATTGCACTCTCCCAATGATTGAACGCAGCATGCGAGAGAAAACATGAATCCAACAACTAAAACAGGGTCAATGCGACAGAATCGACTTATGATAAATTATTCGTCAACAAAATATCTACATGTAAACATGAGATTCATTGGTAACTTATGAATGAAAAATAAAAACATGTCCATCACCCCATCGTCAATATATTTTGTACGTCGTGAAAATCTTCCTGTCATTTGAATGATGTTTTCTAGAAGAATATGGTCAAATAATCACTTATCTATACTATACTAGTTAGTCATAAATGAAAAACTCATAAGATGCGGAATGTACTAGAAACTAAACAAAAAACACGATCGAACATAACATATGGCAGCATTATATATCGTTTGGATTCACTTATGAATAGATAGGTTGTGATGTGTCGTTTTTCGATTGTCCAAGCAGAAAACAAATTTTGAAAACACGTTTAAACCAGTGCTAACATACCTTAACGTTTGAAAAGTACAACATTGCAGATGTTTTTTAGGGAAAAAGTAGAAAATATATTTCTAAAACGAAACATTTGCTTAAGCTTCGTCGAAATGAAGTAATCAGAAACTTTTATAGAAATTTCAAATGTTCGCTGTATGAAACCAAGAAGAAAGCTAGTTACAGAGAAAAAAAAACTACAATTTTTTCTTACATTTTCTTTGTAATGCGTATTTTTCACATGACTTAGTAGCTTTCAAGAAATTCCGCATGCGTAATATAGCCGTCAAAAAAAGTTATGGGCCACACAGTAAGAGTTATCCGATAGTTTTTGTTTAAGTTGACTGATACTAAGCATAGATTTGATGTTACTACTTAGCAAACTTTCATATCTTAGTCAACAAATGAATCATTAGGATTTGATATCAGCGAAAAAATACCACAAATACAATGACCAGCAGCAAAAAGTCATCGGATCGATTTCGTTCGATTGAACTAGTAATTTTCCTCTCAATTTCGAATAGTATTTTTAAAAAAAAGACTCATAAAAAATTGCTATTAGAGATCAGTTTTTCTTTTGGAGATTATAATAACCAGTTTTCTTCTGGATAAATGCTAAAACCTACTAAGAAAGAAAAAAGTCATATCTTCCCTGTGGTCATTTTTGAAGGGCAGAATAAATTCGACAAAGCACATTTTCGAATTCCGTCGCTTATCAATGAAATGCATTGGACGACAGCAACCAACAAAAACTTATCTTGCTGTTTTTTTTCCATATAAAAAAAAATTAAAATATTTCGAAATGTTAGACTCCTATTTTTCTTCAACCGGTCATATATTTTTTCATCTACTATCAAGTCTGAATATATGCTGTTTTATCAAATTAATTTTGCTATTGAAATAGAACGAAAAAAATCTCTGAGTTGTTCTCTTGTACAGTACACTCTTAAAAATTTTTGTATTCTGGGAAACCGACCCACAAAGTTTCCGAGCGTTTGGAAACTGTTTGGGTCGGTTTCCAAGAATACGAAAATTTTTAAGAGTGTAGTTTTCTAACTCTGACAAGACTATTCGTTGCCAGTACAGACTGCAGCCATATTCATCTCAATATCCTATACATAAATATAGTGCTAGATTAAACTAAGCCTCTCTGAATACATCTGAGGGATAATTTGATGAGTATGTTAGTAGCGCCAATGAATCAAATAGGGTTGCAGTTTCGATGTTTGATGTGATCAAAGTATATGTGAACAGTTATTGGATGCCGGAAGTCGGCTTGGATCCTAGCGATGTTCCTTTAAACGCGTTTTATCTGTGTGCTATATCCGGACATCATTCGAAGATATATGCTTAAGAGAAGTCTCATAGAGTATGCTGATAAGATCAGTCAATCACGTACAGTTGCCATTCATGTAAAAGAGAGGTTCAATGTATGTGAAGATACCAAATATGCCAACACAATCTCAAATATTTTGAAAATATAAAATGAAAATAAAATAAAAAAGACTAAAAAAGTATCGTTCAACTTGACTACTATTCTCTGTATTATTGTTTCATAGAAGTCTTCTTTAGAAGCTCGATTTTTCTTAATAAAATAGTACTAATATCATGTATTATCTTTGCTTTGTCGAGCAGCGCTCTATGGGGATCTCAAGTGATCAACAAATTGTAGTTCTGAAGGTGTTCATGTGAGAATTAAAAGTTTCTTTTAGATCACGATAATTTTTTCAAGTAAAAAACGCGGTTACAGAAAATATGCAACTCCTAAAATTCACAACATGGTAACTTACTTAAAATAGTCTCAACTTTACAAAGTGTTTCCAATCGAAGAAACATTAGTGGTTGAATAGGACGATTGTTTGCTTCAGAACTTTTGTTGTTAGATATTTTTTGTTTGATTCTATTTTGCTGTCATTTAGTGACAATGATCGATTTGTTCGATAAAATATGAAAAATCGATCGTGGTTAATTCAAAACATATGATTACTTTTAAAACTGACTTAAATCTAAACTGTTGAAGAACTGTGGTTGAGTGTCTCAGTTCTTCTGCGAGGTTTACAGATTGGCACTTTTCGCAACAAGTGAAATCTAAGTATTTATGGTTGTCATAATTAGAATAAAGATAAGAGTAAACGGGCACCAAGCATGAATATGAATTTTACATCAAATATTTAGAACAAATGATATAATACAAGATAGCAAACGTTAGCAAAAATATAAGAGAGAAAAAGGTATGGGTGTTTTCTCTAGCCTCACGCCTATACTCGTGCCCACACCTACACCTGATATAGCTCGGACACTTAAGTATAAGATTAGCCGCTAGTTTTTGAGTATTTACGGTGTGTGTGTCAGTGAGATCCCTGTTCATCGACACTCACTACAATACTCACATCCGCCCACACCCACACTCCACGATTAGATTTCCATTAATTCAGTCTCTTGTTGGTCTTTTGAGCATTTTTATAAGTGATTACTTGTCGATTTACCGAATCAATTATATGTAGAAAGTCGATAATCATGTTTGATATTAATCGATGTTTCATTGTCAAAGCACTAGGTATCGGATCCGTACATTTTCTAGAGTTGTTCATGTATAGTAGATAGTCAAGGAAAAACTTTTTCGTAGTAATAAAACCCTTCACTAAAGCAAGATCATAACTAAAAGTATGTAATATACCTTGTTTGTTTAACTCTTTCATAAAACAAAATAAGAAGCTGAAAAGGAAAGTTTTATGTTACTTACTTTAGGCTTATTGATATGTGTTTCATTAGACTTGAGCAAATATTCTGTGAATAGTTTTTCTCTGAGAGACTTACTTTAAACGAGTAAGTATAAACTTGTACAGACTGTTTCGACTGTTTCTTACAGTTAGTACTCGTTAACAAATAATCTTTCTTGGACAAAAGTTTTCTATATCAATTTATCTCAGAAAATGCATAATTCTCAGTTCGATGAATGAATACTTTGATTTTCAGAGCAACAATGGTTCTCTTATCAAGATGCTCTTTTCTTGCATTCTTACGAAGGATCGCCTTCAACTGTGGAATCTCTTTTGATTGAGTATACGTTGAAACTGCAGATACTATGAAAAACACAATCTGAGCCACTCTGAGTGCTTTGTGCTCACTGCAGTGTTACTTGAAACCTATACCAATCGATATATCTTGAGATTCTGAGCCTAGAAGAGTCCAGTTTGAGGCATGCTGCGTCTCCTTGAACCACAAGTCGAATAAATTAAATATCCGAAAGAATGACGTTCGACGACATTGTGATAAATGACTCATGCATCCAGCGAGTAGAAAATAAATAGTGAAGATTCGTTTAACTTCATTTTCCGAGTACTTAAATTGTTCAGTTTTTTGAACTCAGAGTAAATCAAAGTGATTTAGAGTGAGACACTCTAGAAATATCTTTCATTTTACGTTCCTGATATTTTGTCCAGAACGACTGAGAGTGAAATCGGTTATATTCAGGATTTCGAGCTCTTTTGATCGTTTTAAGTCTCAAGTAATACTGAGCTCAAAGCGGCATGATTGTGCATACAACTATATAATTTAACTCAAATTAAATCAATACTAAAATATTCACAATAGAGATGTTTACAATGTCAGTTAATAAGATTAGATGTATTCAAGTCAGTTTAAATTTCTCATTGCCACACTAAAAATTTCAAAATATGAGCTGTGTGCGGCATCCAAGAATCGAAATATTTGAATTTTAACGAATTTACAATATTTGTAAGGTACGCCCAAGTCGCAATTTCAGGAGAATTCATTTTGATTCTTCTTCGTGATGATGAGATAAAGCTTGTTGAATTACGTACAAAAAAAAGACTGTATTTTCAAACTTCGAAATAGTCAATTTTATGAAAATCAGAAATTTGAGTTTATTTTCTCATATATTTTAAAATAAAGATATCTTGAACTATTCGTAAAATTGACTTCTTCAAGCTTAATCAATGCATTTTCTTTCTTATGCAACTCGACGAGTTCTATCCAATCGTCATGAAAACAGAGACAACAAAATTCTGCGGAAATTATGACCTATGAATACTTTATACACATTGTCAATATTTTAACATTCGAATAGATCGGTTCGTGCATGATATCAGCAGCTTATATTTCGAAATTTTTAGTTTGGCAATGAGACTTTTAATCTAATCCGAATATGTCTAATCTTATTAATTAACACTACAAAAACTTTCATTGTCAGTAGTGATCAACGCTCTAGAGTTTGAAAAGAGATCAATGCTGGTTAACCAAGATATTGATTTCCTTGACATGCAGATTGATTATCAAAAACCATCATGTGCTCTTGCTCCAGGTCGCAATTGTTGATGCATCCGATATATTTCAATCTACGATTGGAAATAGTCAACTAATTTGTCCTTGATTTGATTAATATAAGTTTTAAAAACATGGGTACTTTGTCAAATTAAGCACACCCACACCCGTTTCCTGACGGTAATAGAATCTCTTTTTTTGTTTGAATAGTTCATTTAGCTACATACTGATAACTTTCGCACTTTTTTCATCGGCTTCTCAAAAGCTATTTCATACACATTCTTCATNTATAGCAACAGCAACACCCTGAAATAATAAAAGAACACCAAAAGCATCAGATAATTTATCAACACCAACTAAATCTACAATAATAATTGATATTAAACCGACATAACCACCAGAAAAAAATCCAAATAATCCAGCATAAGTCATATGTGTTTGAACAAAAGAATTACAAAATGGTGCAAACATTGTTGCTATACCAGAAATTATTAATGTTATGTTGTATAATATTAAACGATTCACCTGAATATAAAAGAACAACGAATAGATTATATAGAAAAATTGTTCTTTTTTATATGTTACCCATGATCGATCGGCTAAATAACCAATAATGACTCGACCAAAACAATTGCCAATACCAATTGACATAATAATCCAATGTCTTTTATGTTCAAGTACTTTAGCATCAGCAGCGAATCATTAGCAAAACTGTATGGAACATAAAAACCAAGATTTGTTAAAACATCCGATATAACAAATAAAGCAAATGCAGCATCTTTTAATAAATTAAGATCAATTTGTTCAGCAATTTTTGTCAGAAATAATTTTTTTGCAGCTTTCTTATTTGTTTCATTTGTCATATCACTTGTTTTTATCATTTGACAATGATATTCATCAGTATTCTTGTTATATAATGGAATATTATGTAAATTACCTTGATAAATCGCATCTTTACGCGCAACTACTACTGGTAGATTCGTTGTCACTGTTTCGGATACATTTTCATGAGATCTCGAAAGAGTTTTGTCTATTGAATTATTAATGTAGAGGTCATTTTTCTTCAAATCTGATAGAAATACTCGACGTTTATCATCAGATAGACATTCTTATTCAATATGAACAACAGCAATTGATTCTCTTGAAACTACATTTAAATCTTGTGATGGAATATCACTAAAACAAAACAGAAACCATTGATGAATCATGTGCAACGAGAGACTATCAGCATGTTACAACTCTATAAAACAAGAAATATACTTCAGATGAATAAATTATCATCTTCAGTTGGTCTCGTGTCTTAAGTATTGTCTTATGTTCATCCTCAATCAAGTATTTGTTTTCATCATAGTTTCTCTTATTTAAGGAATAAAAATGAATATCTAGAACTTCTTCTATCTGATAGAAAGATATTTACAGAATTGATTATTGTTAAAAACATCCATCAAATATGATTTAGTCCAATACAGAAAAAAGATTATTTTCCATTCAAATATTTACTCAAATAATAAATCTAAATTTCAAACCTTTCTCGATTCGTTGAAAGTAATAGATTTTGTTGATCATCATTTTGACTAGTTGCAGTTCCTGATTTGAGTACTTGTAGTTTAGCTGCTTCTCGTGCTTTTCGTTCTACACGTCTTATTTCACTTAATTCTTGTGGCAAGGGAATCTAAAAAAGATTTTCAATTTTTAAAGTTTTATTTTTATCAAGATAAGCAATACCATTAAAGCACCAAATATAACACAAATAAAGATAATGGTTGCCTCAAGTAGAAGAGCACCTTCATAATCAAACCACAATGGTGCATTGATAACATATGGCATCACAGCTGGAAATACCAATGTACCCAAACCTGAACCACAAACCGCAATACCCATAGCAAAAGAACGTTTACTTTCAAAATAGAAACCGACAGAAACAATAGCTGGTAAATAGATTAAACCAAAACCAATACCTATTGACATATAAATCTACAATAAC